CAATGTGAGGCTGATCGATGCCCGGGTGCAGTCAAGGGATGGCTCCCTATTGGTCAACCATGTTATGTATGCCGATGATCTAGTAATTGCCGCTCACTCAGAGGAGGAGTTGGAGGCGCTGCTGCTGAACCTGGAGCATGCCACTAAGAGGTGGGGCCTTACCATAAGCCCCACCAAAACTAAGCACCTGCCTGGGTATTTTGTACCATCGGGCAACCCACCTCCACAGCTCCCAATCTGTGATGGGGCAGTTGTGGAGAGATTGGAAGTTTCCTATACCTGGGCAGTGTGCTCATGACTGGCTCCGGTTTGACAGCAGAGGTCTCACTCAGAATCAGTCGAGCGGCATTATTTTTTCATCGGCTGCGTAACGCTGTGTGGAAGCTACCTGGTCTGTCGCTCCGCACGAATCTTCAAGTCTTCTCGGCCACGCTCATTCCATCCCTACTATTCGCTTGCGAAACGTGGACCCCCCTAATGGAGCATCTTCGCAAATTGGAAAAATTTAGGCTGGCCTGCCTAGGATCCATCCTGGGTTTAACCATGCTGGATTGTGTGAGCTCACAATTCCTTGAAAGATCTGGGCAAAGTCCCATCGGTGAGCTCCTCCGGCAGGCAAGGCTGCGTTGGCTGGGTCATGTAGCCCGCATGCCCAGTCACCGCATGCCTAAACAGCTTTTGTTCGCACGGATAGAGGGGGCTAAACCGGCTTGGCACGGGCGACAGAGGAGATGGAGTGACGTGGTACAGGAGAATGTGGAGCTGAGTGGACTTGCCGATGACTGGTACCAGCGGTGTCAATATCGACCTCTGTGGAGGAGGCTCGTGAAGGACGCTGCTGGGCAGTTGGAGGCAGTCGCCCTCCAACAACAGAGGGCGGAGAAGCGATGCTCACAACAACGAGCGGAGCGCCGGGTGGCTAAAAGACAGAAAGTTTGCACAGTAGGGGGCACAGGTGGTGCATCAGCCACTCGTCTCAGTCAGTCGACCGGTGGCATCTGGGTCTGCCCCGTGACCTCCTGCCAGCGGGCGTTCGACACTTCATGTGGCCTCAAGGTGCACATAGCCTGGCACAAGCGTCGTGGTGACGTCACCGCCACTTAGTGGCGAATGGTGGTTGTTGTGGTGAGAGTGAGTGTAGGATTAATAAAGTGTAAGCAGGTGACCTGTTACTCTGTGTCAGTGTGAGTAATTTAATACACTACATCTGTACGGAACAATTGTATTTACCATGTGAGGTCCACTGAGCTATGTAGCTCTTTTTTATTAGTGGCTTGGCCACAAATGATAGCTCAATGAAGTGGCTTCTCCTCATATAGACATTTCTAGCAGTAGCCAAACACTCTAAACGCGTGGTGATGTCGATTCTAAATGTGGAGGAAAACAGTGGAGGACCTGGAGAAAAATCCATGCGACCACAGGGAGAACACGCAAACTCCAAATATACAGCAGGCGTCAGGGTCGGGATCGAACCCATGACCTCCTGCATACCACGCGAGGGAGATAACATCTCCTAGCCACCGCCTAAGCAACCCCCTATAAAACGCGCCGAGTCCACTCGGCCCCTCCGCTTTGTCCTCGACCGCCCCCTGTGAGAACGCACCAAATCACAACCTCAAACATCACCTCCAACAGTCTCCCCTCGACCATCCGCAGAGACCACAGCCGCTGTGGGGTCGTCTTCGTTTTGCCACTGTGGCTAGATGTTAACTACCTTGCCTAGTATACAGTTTTATTTTTATTATTTTATTATGTTTTATTATTTTATTACTTCCCTTCTACGTGACTTTACCGAAAAAACCAAGAAGATAGTATACAGGAGGTTGTGGGTTCGATCCCAACCCCGATGCCTGCTGTATATTGGGAGTTTGCATGTTCTTCCCATGGTCGCGTGGATTTTTGTCTGGGTCCCCCGGTTTTTACATCCACATTTAGAAACGTGTTTGAGTATTTCGGCTGCGATACATTTCTGCGATAATCCACTTGGTTCAGATATCATTTGTGATAGCCAGGTCGCTTCTGAAAAAGAGCGATATAGCTCAGTGGGGCATTACCCGGTAAAATAAAATAGTTTAGAGTATGGGTCGCTGTGGGTTTCTATTGGTCTCTTTACATCTCTGCAATACGTTTTCACGTGATGATGATAAGCCACTTGGCTGAGCTATCATATTTGTGGCAGCCAAGTTTCTTCTAAAAAGAGCCGCAAAGCTCAGTGTGGGCCTTACCCGGTAACATAATGAAACACAAAGGGATAGTTTTAGTTCATCCGATTGTGTAGGGCAATGCTAACCCTGGCTGCAACTCGACGTGCAATCTGCACGTTCGCCGTTGAACGCGTCACAATTTCATTCGGATTGGCCTTGTCGGGTCGGTCGGAGGGGAAACTCATGAAAACGCATCTTGGTCAGATCGTCACAAGGCCTAACGCAAAGACCAGTTGTGAATCGTTATCGTTTACTCCACACACGCACGAATACTAACAGCCGCCATTCGCCACTAAGTGACGATGACATCACCACGGCGCCTGTGCCAGGCGAGGTGCACTTTGAGGCCAGGTGAAGTGTCAAAGGCTCGCTGACACGTGCACGCACGCACACGCATGCGCATCTAGTGTTGGCCATTGCACCCCCAACGCCGAGCTCACACTCTCCGCGGCGACGGGAAGCGACGCGCATGGCGACAATTGTTCACAATTCCATTTTAATTCATCCCAGCTCAAGCTTCCCCCTGGAGGCTCAATACGGGGCGACGGTCGCACGCGCACCGAGAGAGAGGAGAGAGAGGAGAGAGAAGTTCCACCGCCATGGACGGAAAGATGGAGGAAAGATGCACGCAGCTGATGGTGTTGATGATCGTGATGGTAATGATGATTTTGATTTGAAGCTTTCGTGACTGCAGGAATCCATACTCTTTGGATCTTTCGGTAAAGTCACGTTGGTAGAAAATAAAATAAATCACGTGATGATGGATGCTTGTGTTGTGCCCGAAACGTTATGATTTATTTTATACCTACGTGACTTTACCGAAAGAACCAAAGAGTATGGGTAATGATGATGTTGGTGATGTTGGTGATGGTGGTGATGACGGCGGCGGTGGCGCCGGGAGGGAGAGACATCGCGCCGGACATCGAGCGGCGTCTCACCTCTCCACCTCTCTCCCCATCCACGCAATTCGGTGGTTTGTAAAATCGCGCGAAACTTGAACAACAAAATATAAATCGGTGAAACGACCCCCCCCCCCCCCCTCCACGCGTCACAGTTCTGGGTAGTTTTGTTTTTACACTGGAAATTTTTTTTTTCGAGCTGGAACCGAACCGTGCTACCCCGAGCCTCGCGAGAAGACGGGAGGGAGTGGGGGAGAGGGGGAGAGGGGGGGGGCAAGCAGGACCAGGGGCGGCCAAGCAGAGGAGGGCCCAGGAATGTTCGTGTCACGTGACGCCGACGCGGCGCGGCTCGGTTTAGTGCAGTGGAAGAACAACGGCGTGCGGGCAGCCCAGCCCCTGGTTGTTTTCGTTTGGTGGGGCGAGCAACGCCGCGATTTGGGGTTCTTGGGATCGCTCGGCACTGCCAATCGGCGGCGGAACAAAACGAAAAACCCCACCGCAGCGAACCGCAACGAAAAAAAATATACAAAGTAAAAATCAAACCAGTGCTTGGGGCCCGGCTCTGCGCACGCCGGTGGTGCGGCCAACCGGCCCGCGGACGCCGGGAAAAACGTTCAGAAGCAACAAAGTCGTCGTCGCCGTCGAGAGCTAAAGCGTCTGGCAGAGCAATTCCCAACAGCGGTGGCAGTGGCGGCCGCATGAACCGTGGCCCTCCCTCGATTCTAAACGGCGCTGAGCGTAGAGCAACAGCGACGCTACTGAAAGCGCAACGATCGCAGAGACACCAACGGGCGTAGCGAAGACGACGTCCCGCTTGCTCGTCCCAGGCTGCTCAAACAAGCACAGGGTGGGGCTGAGGCTCGCTCACCGCCCGGCGTCTCCCGTGGTGTCGATCGGAGGGACGGACGCACAGAAGGACGGACACAGGGAGGGATGAACGCCGCTAACGAACGCAAGTCAACACCGGCGATTCTACTGTGAGCAACCCGTTGCCTGTAGAAAAGGCAGATTCTGCTATGGGAAATCAGTTGCCTGCAGCAGACAGATTTCAGTGTTGGCAACTGATTGCCTGCAGCAAAGACAGATTCTACTGTGAGCAACTGATTGCCTGCAGCAGATTCTACTGTAAGCACCATGGTGACTGCCACCATCACTACCACCACTATCATCATCACCACTCTCTTCATCATCACCACTCTCTTCATCATCGCCACCATCATCACCACCACCACCATCATTATCATCACCACCATCACCTCCACCATCACCACCACCATCACCACCATCACCACCACCATCACCACCACCACCATAATCACCACCATCGCCGCTGCCACCAACCTCTCCATCATCACCACCACCACCCTCCCCATTACCGCCGCCGCCACCCTCACCGCTGCAGCTAATGTAGCCGTCACCGTAACCATCGCCATCTCCCATGGCCGTCGCCATCACGTCGAGGTCATCGCGTAGTGGAACAGAAGCGAAATTAATTAACAGAGATCCCTTAACCCCCTACACACACTCACTCGCCACACACAATAGCCTATGCATAACTTGAGCCAGATCATCAGCAACTATTAGCAAATCGTTGTAACTCACAAGCAAAACATATTTTAATTGATGAAGCAAATATGTTGCTGAACAAAGAAACCAACGCTCAGATAAACACACACACACGGCAGACTAACAAACATGACACACACGTGTGCACGTACGCACACACATCACACACACGGCACACGTGTACACACACACATCACACACACGGCACACATGTACACACCACACACACAAACATCACACAGCACACGTACACACAGCCCGTACACACACAGCACGCGCACACGTACACACACGGCACGCACACAAACATTAAAAAGACAAAGATCCCCGTGTAAGCCTTAACAGGCTGTTGGGGCAAGTGCTGTTAGCGAGCAGTACCTATGAAGGCCGCCACAGCTCACAAGGGGGTGGTGAGGTGGCCAGCACCACGCTCGGCCGCCTTTGTCTCCCCAGTGACGATGTTTGAACACCGCACCAGGTACTCTCTTGAGTTTGACCTCGGGGAGGCCCAGGACCGGTTTAGATAATCGTTACCGGTGTTGGGAGGCCGTGAGCGGGAATCGAACTTGGGTTTCTATCGCTGCGCTACCGCTCCCCATGTACATACACAAAGATCCCCCGTATAGCCTGAGCGGACTGTTGGGGCAAGTGCTGTTAGCGAGCAGCACCTATGAAGGCCGGCACGGTGCACAAGGGGGTGAGTGGCCAGCACCACGCCCCGGCCGCCTTTGTCTTCCTAGTGGGGGAAAACACACATCAGAACCAGGAACTCATTTGAGGCCGAGTCGACCTAGGGGAGGCCGAGAATCGGTCCATATAATTGTCACTTGTGTTGGTGGCGGTGAGCGAGAATCAAAGTTGGGTGGCAGGGTTCGTAGCGCAGCGCTCTGACTGCCACAAAACTGCTCCACATACAAAGATCCCCCGTGTAGCCTTCACAGACTGTTGGGGCAAGAGCTGTTAGCGAGCGCTCATGAAGGCCGGCACGGCACATGAGGGGGTGGGTGGCCAACACCACGCCCGGCCCCCTTTGTTTCCCTAGTGACGATGTTTACACATCGCACCAGGTACTCATTTGAGGCTGAGTCGACCTAGGGGAGACCCGGGACCGGTTCAGATAATTGTCACCGGTGTTGGCCGTGTGCGGGGATCGAACCTGGGTCGCCAGGTTCATAGCGCAGCGCGCTAACCGCCACACTACCGCTCCCCACACACACACACGGGTACACACACACACACGGGTACACACACACACACGGGTACACACACACAGACTTGCGTACACACACCACAGACCGACCACAGACCAACCACACAGGTACGTACATACGCACAAACACCCATACCTCGTAGACACGTACACACGTACACACACACACCTCGTACACACGTACACCTCCTACACACACACGCGTACACACACCTCGTACACACACACCTCGTACACACACACCTCGTACACACACACACGCGTGCACACACATGTGCACACACGCGTGCACACACACACACGCGTGCACACACATGTACATGTACACACACGCGTGCACTCACTGAGCAGTGTTAATCTTGACCTGAACCTATACAACCTATTGACTTGAACCTATACAAGTTTGGTTTCCACGGTGATTGATTGACTCAAGGTAGTTAATTGATCAATTCTCATGGAGCTGCCTCTCCATGAGTGTTGCAGTGATGAGTGTTGCAGTGATGAGTGTGATGAGTGTTGCAGTGATGAGTGTGATGAGTGTGATGAGTGTTGCAGTGATGAGTGTTGCAGTGATGTGTGATGAGTGTTGCAGTGATGAGTGTTGCAGTGATGAGTGTGATGAGTGTTGCAGTGATGAGTGTTGCAGTGATGAGTGTTGTAGTGATGAGTGTTGCAGTGATGAGTGGGACAGTGATGAATGTGATGAGTGTTGCAGTGATGAGTGTTGCAGTGATGAGTGTGATGAGTGTTGCAGTGATGAGTGTTGCAGTGATGAGTGTGATGAGTGTTGCAGTGATGAGTGTGATGAGTGTTGCAGTGATGAGTGTGATGAGTGTGATGAGTGTTGCAGTGATGAGTGTTGCAGTGATGTGTGATGAGTGTTGCAGTGATGAGTGTTGCAGTGATGAGTGTGATGAGTGTTGCAGTGATGAGTGTTGCAGTGATGAGTGTTGCAGTGATGAGTGCGATGAGTGTTGCAGTGATGAGTGTTGCGGTGATGAGTGTTGCAGTGATGAGTGTGATGAGTGTTGCAGTGATGAGTGTTGCAGTGATGAGTGTGATGAGTGTTGCAGTGATGAGTGTTGCAGTGATGAGTGTTGCAGTGATGAGTGTTGCAGTGATGAGTGATGAGTGTTGCAGTGATGAGTGTTGCAGTGATGAGTGTGATGAGTGTGATGAGTGTTGCAGTGATGAGTGTGATGAGTGTTGCAGTGATGAGTGTGATGAGTGTTGCAGTGATGAGTGTGATGAGTGTTGCAGTGATGGGTGTGATGAGTGTTGCAGTGATGAGTGTGATGAGTGTTGCAGTGATGAGTGTTGTAGTGATGAGCACGCGCAGTTTGTCTTGTCAATCCAATGCTGGATGGGTGGCGGGGGCTATTTGACCATACTTCCCCACGCTGGTCAGTGCGTGCCAGTGGAGGTGGGGGACGGCGGCAGGGAGGGCGAGTGCCCTGCTGCCCTCACTGCACCTCCGCAGGCGACCCGACCTCAGCAGGGCACTGGGAAGCAGCAGGGGCAGCTAAAGGAAGGGATTCGTAGCTCCACTGCTTGACTGATTTGGTCCCTGCACCACACAGATACACGACGACAAGTCAACCGCCATCCCCATTGTTCGTGAACCGAGTTGTTCGTGAACAGAAGCGTTCGTGAACCGAGGTATCACTGTACCTCGCCTGGTCTGCAGGAGGTGGTGGGTTTCCATCCCGACCCTGACGATGCCTCCTGCTGCTGCTGTATATTTGGAGTCTGCGTCTCTCTCTTATTATCACGGTCGCTAGGAGATGTTAACTACCTCGCCTGGTCTACAGGAGGTGATGGGGTCGATACTCTTTGGTTCTTTCGGTAAAGTCACGTAGGTAGAAAATAAAATAAATAACGACGTTTCGGGCGCAACACAAGTGTCCATCATCAGGTCACGTCTGAGAAAGAGCTACACAGTTCAGTGGGGGCCTTACCTGCTCAAATACATTTGATTTAATTTTAATCACGTGAAGTGTTGAAAGCTCACAGGGGGTAGGAGGTGACGGGACAGGCCCAAAAAGATGAAGCCAAAGATCCCAACCGTATAGCCCGCACGGGCTGTTGGGGCAAGTACTGCCAGCGAGCAGCACCTATGAAGCTGGGCACTGCACACGAGGTGGCTGAGTCGACCTAGGAGAGGCCCAGGACAGCTAAAAATAGTCGCCACTGTTATTGGTCATGAGCAGGAATTGATGAACTCGGGTCTCTGTTGGGTTTGCAGTGCAACGCGCTAACAACCGCTACCACTACCGCTCCACGCACACACACGCACGCACGCACACGCAGGCACACGCACGCACACGCACACACACGCACGCACGCGCACACACGCACGCACACACACGCACGCACACACGCACACACGCACGCACACACGCACGCACGCACGCGCACACACGCACGCACGCACGCGACACGCACGCCCACGCGGCACACACGCACACACACGCACGCACACGCCCGCACACACACGCAACACGCACCACACACGCACACACACGCCACACACGCACGCACCACACACGCACACGCACGCACACACACAACACATCGCACCACACACGCTCCACACGCACACCCACACCACAACGACCCACGCACACACGCCACACACAACACACGCACACACGCACACACGCACGCACACACGCACGCACGCACACACACACACGCCCACCGCAAACACACACACGCACACAACACACGCACACACACACAGACACCCTCGAGGAACAACACCCTCATCCTCCCACACACGTGCGCGGGCACGTGCTACGGGCGAATGTGCGTGTGGGTGCGTGTCGGCGTGCATGCGCGTGCGTGGGGAATGTTAGCATAGTGGTTAGTGCGCTGTGCTATGAACCCGGCGGCCCCAACAACACCTGAACCGGTCCTGGGCCTCCCCTCGGTCGACTCAGCCTCAAATGAGTACCCGGTGCGGTGTGTAAACATCGCCACTGGGGAGACAAAGGCGGCCGGGCGTGGTGCTGTCCACCCACCCCCTCGTGTGCCACAGTGCCGGTAGCCTTCGTAGCTGCTGCTGCTACTCGCTACTAACAGCACTTGCCCTACAGTCTGTTAGAGGCTACACGGGGGATCTTTGTCTGTCTACCTTCATAGGTGCTGCTGTTAATCGCTACTAACAGCACTTGCCCCTCCAGTCTGTTAGAGGCTACACGGGGGATCTTTGTCTGTGTCTACCTTCATAGATGCTGCTGTTACTCGCTACTAACAGCACTTGCCCCTACAGTCTGTTAGAGGCTACACGGGGGATCTTTGTCTGTGTCTACCTTCATAGGTGCTGCTGTTACTCGCTACTAACAGCACTTGCCCCTACAGTCTGTTAGAGACTACACGGGGGATCTTTGTCTGTGTCTACCTTCATAGGTGCTGCTGTTACTCGCTACTAACAGCACTTGCCCTTACAGTCTGTTAGAGACTACACGGGGGATCTTTGTCTGTGTCTACCTTCATAGGTGCTGCTGTTACTCGCTACTAACAGCACTTGCCCCTACAGTATGTTAGAGGCTACACGGGGGATCTTTGTCTGTGTACCTTCATAGATGCTGCTGCTACTCGCTACTCACAGCACTTGCCCCTACAGTCTGTTAGAGGCTACACGGGGTAACTTTGTCTGTGTGTATGGGGACTTGCCTGCCCAAAGTTGGACACAAACGGATTGGTTGCCATCGAGGTGGCCGTTGGTTTAAGTTGTCCGAAGGCCCCGGCGGCTCCAGTGCCTGAAATAGAACATTGCATTCACTTTCAACGCCTGCGTCGTCCCTATCACCCCATCGTTGTCATATTTGTCATTGTCGTCATCATTGTCGTCATCATTGTTGTCATCGTAATTGTCCGGATAACAATCATCGCTGTCAAATGTTGTCAAATGCCAGGCCAAACAGAGGAATCAATCAATAACATTATGAATATAAATATTATGAATATATTATTGATTGATTATATTATTAATTATTATATTATTATAATTATCGATTGATTAAAAAAGGCTTTATCCTTCATGGCGTAAATACTCGGAGTTCTACTAAGATGTTCAACACCAAATAGATACAGCGTTTGCAAGGCATGGAGGGTCTGCGTTAACCACACCTGACTTGTGGTGAGACATGCAGACCAAACGTGCTCTATCATGGGATCTTTTTGCCAGTATCAAAGTATGAAACATTAGTAATATTAAAAATACTTTTATTAAAGACGCTTTAATGAAATGTACCGTACGAGAAATGGCAGAACTCCACGACTCCAGGACAATTAGACCCAAGCCGAAACATAACACATAAAAAAGAATGTTTAATTTTTTTGATAGAATATAGTAATGTCCTCAGTATGACATAAGCATACCACGTTTGCAGTCGATACCACATTGGGAAGTGGGTTAAAATTGAGTAACAAGATTTGAGGATGTTCAAACGCCAACTAGATACACAGCTTTAGCAAGGAATCAAGCCCTGCATTAACCACACACGACTTGTGGTGAACATGCAAACAAACGTGACACCATGACACCTCCTGTACGCGTTTAGTCTATTGTCCTTCTCCGATTAGTGTGCAAAAGAACACACACACACACACCGAGACTCACATAGTCACCCACCCACACGCTCACCCACCCTCCGATTAGCAAGGTTGGCTATGTGAAGGTGCGAAATAAGTTCACAATACAGACTCACATAGTCACTCACCCACTCTGTCACTCAACAACAACAACAGCCATTCGCCAATAAGTGACGGTGACGTCACCAAGGCGCTTGTGGCAGGCTACGGCCCAAGCGTACGGCTTGCGTATGGGGGGGTCTACTGACAATGTATATTTAATAAAGGTCGTGGAAGCGACTTCTGGAATCTGGGTCTTTATTTGTCTTTCGTTCACAACAACTCCTATCTTACTCCTTCACGCTGCTGACAGACAGTGTGAGAGGGATAGAGAGAGACGCGCGCGGCCACGTGGCAGCCTGGACCACGTGGCAGCCTGGACCACGTGGCAGCCTGGACCACGTGGCAGCCTGGACCACGTGGCAGCCTGGACCACGTGGCAGCCTGGACCCCGCTCCAGCGTGGCCTCACCCTCCGTTCGTTCCAGATCTGACCACGTGTTGTCCGTCTCCACCCCTTTTAATACCCGGGTCACGTGGTACCTTTCCACCAATCCTGGTTAACCTCCATGGAATCTTCTAGACTCCATCGTACGCTCCCAGGACCGCGCCCCTGACTCGTCCCCCCATTGGCTGTGGCTAAAGCCAGCAGATCCAATCATCTACTTACAGATGTCACCTTCCCATGACGTCAGGGCCACGCCCCTAGACTTCCCCCATTGGCTATGGGCCAGGACCGGCAGAGCCAATCATCGTAACGAGTTGTGATCCATCAGCAACCCGGATATATCCTCAATACATCTGCATGGGGGGGGGGGGGTGAAGCCTCGATAATAATTTGTCTAAATTGACCTTCAAATTAGTTAAATAGTCCGGAGGACTATCTGTTTGCTTAAACGCGTTAATATTATTAATCCTTGATCGTTTCTGCGTGGATGAAATATGGCCGTTCTATAGGATTCCGGGGGGGGGGGTGCGTCAAGCGTACGTACGCAGGTGGGGGGGGGGGGTGTAAAAACTATTTGTGCGTACAGGGAGGGGGGGAGCGGTCAAGTTTTGACAAATTTTTGCGTACGTACTAAATGGATGGCCTCTATGTGCATGTTAAGGCCACGTGAATTGTCAAACGCCCGCTGGCAGGTCCCGGGACAGACCAGGTGTCATGGGTTGACCGACTGAGATGACTGGTCAATGCATCACCTGTGCCCTCTACTGTGCAAACTTGCTGTGTTTTAGCCACCCGGCGCTCAGCTCGTTGTGAGGATCACTCCTCGCCCTCGTTGTTGCTGGAGGGCAACTGCCTCGAACTGCCTCGAACTGCCCAGTAGCATCCTTCACGAGCCTCCTCCAAGGCTGATCTTGACACCGCTAGTACCAGTCATCGGCAAGTCCACTCAGCTCCATCCTCTTGTACCACATCACTCCC